AATATCGTAATGGCGATGTATACTGCCAGGTGAGTACTAGACTACTCATAGGGATCACTTCGCAAATTATATAAAAGTCTAACCATTGTGCTGTGTATCTGAAATTAATATAAAAATAATATTGAAGGTCAACTCTAATTGAGAAATAAAAACTAAAAAAAGAAGAAGAAAAAAGCATAGATTACCCATATAAAGAAAAATAAGTAAAATAAAATAGGTGTACTATTTGTATTTCTATCAGCAATGAATAAGAACTGCTGTTACTTCCCATAACTCTACATTTTATTTTATTTTATTTTATTTTATTTTAGCCATTCTAGTTGTAAATTATTTTTGCTTTAATTTTAATTTATCTAATTAATAATTATTTTTAGTATTTTTTTATGTTTTCTTGTCAAGGTGTATATCTTCTTATCTGATGAATCTGTTCGATTTCTTTCATTATATTTAGAATGGTTTAGTCTTCCTACCATTGAGTTATACCAGAAGTTACAAAATAATATAGAGAGCATACAGAGGGCCCATACACCCTTCAGCTGGTTTCCCCAAATGGCAACATATTACATGACTTATATCAAATATTTCTTATATGTAGTACACTATCAAAACCAGGAAATTGGCACTGGTGAATTCATAGACCTTACTCCTTAGCTTTTATCAGTTCTACATGCATTTGTGGGGTGTGTGTGTGTGTGTGTGTGTGTGTGTGTGTGTGTGTGTGTGTTGAATTGCCATCTTAACAATATTGGGTTCTCACTTGATAAATATAGCTGTCTCAGTTTATTTCAATCGGCTTTAATTTTTCTCAGGTAGGTATATTAGTTTTCAGTGTTCAAGTGTTGCATTTATTTTATTAAATATATTTATAAACATTTTATTTTTAAAACTATTATAAATAGAATGCTTTTCTAAATTTTATTTTCACATTGTTCAATATTATAATAGTAATAATGAAAATGTAAATAACATTTTATATTGATCTTTCATATTATGTGGCTTTCCTAAACTCTATTTTGTTGTTGTTGTTTGTTGTTGTTGTTGTTTTGTTTTAGTTTGGGTTTTGGTATGTCAATTACTTAGCATTTCCATGCCCAAGATCATATCATCTGCAAACAAAGTCTTATTATTCTTTTCTAATTGGGATACCTTTAACTTGTTTTTCTTACATGATTACAGTGTATACATAACTGTTAAAATGTTAAAATATAAGTGGAGAAATAAGAGAAACTTGCTAATTTCCAATTTTATGGGAAATAATCAGCCTTTCACCATTAAGTTTATTGTTACCTGTAGATTTTTTATTGATGTTCTTTATCTGATTGGGAAAGTTTCTCTGTATTCCTGCTTCATAGAGTTTTCATCTTGAATGGTGGTTGTATTTTTTTTCAAATGTTTTTCATCTATTGTCATGATTTATGGTTTTTGTCTATTATTCTATTAATATAGTATATTACATTAATTAATTTTCAGATGTTAAACAAACTTTGGGTCATGTTTTCATTTACTCTGACAATGTCAGGCCTTTAATTGGTTGTCTAGACCATTTCCGTAAAAAGTTCTTATTGATATAGTTAGACTCATATCTTCTATCTTAACATAACAATATATGACACAGTAATAATTTACCTTCAAATAACAGTACAGTGCTTTATTTGTAATGAGGGTTTTTAGTATCCCAATTCTTCCATCTAATTGTTTGTGAAATAAAATGCTGTTATTCATTTTATTTATACATATTCTATAACCACTCAATATAGTCTTTGTATTATTGCTTTAAGTAGAGAGTTATATTTTAGCTCAATTAAAAATAAGAAAAATAAAAATAACATACTTTTATTTATTCATTTTCTGATGCTCTTCCTTTATGTAGATCCAATTTCTGACCCATATCATTTTTGTTCTGTCTGAAGAACTTTATTTAACATTTCTTATAAGACAGATCTGCTGGCAAACAATTCTATCAGTTTTTTTGAGAAAATTTTTATTCTAACTTTTAGAGGATAATTTCACTAGACACAAAATTCTGAGTTAGCATTTCTTTTTCTTTTAACACTTAAAACTTTCCTTCACTCTCTTCTTAATTGCATGTTCTTTTTAACTTTGAATAATGAAGTTTATTTAACCTAATATTTCTAAATTATTATTTAACATGTAGTCAATATAGAAATTATGAATGAGACATTTTACATCATTTTTTTTCATATTGGGTCTCTGAAATCTGGTGTTTATTTCATGCTTATTAGATATGCCAGTTCCGACTAGCCATATCTAAAATATTCCATAACCGTACGTGGCTAGCAGCTAATTTCAAAACTGCTCAATAGCAAAGGAATGAATATATTGAATTCTAGTCTTTCTTCAACCCCTGAAGAATGTCTGCCTTCAGTCTCTGAGCTTTCCTCCAACCCTTCTCTCTTCAGCTTTGAGGTCTTTGTGAGATTGCTCCAGGTTCCAGAAGTCACAGTAGCTTCACTCATGTTTTTTGATGAAAAGTCTGCTGTAATTCTTATCCTTGTTCCTCTAAAAAAGTATACCACTAGAAGCCTTAGTTGCCTTCAAGATTTTCCCATTGACTTCAGCTTTCTTTAGTTTGAATATGATATTTTTGTGGGTAGTTTTTGCTTTGGTCTTTATCCTGCTTGGTTTCTCTATCTCTTGCATGTGTGGCTTCATGTATGTTAATAATTTTGGAGAGATATTGGCCATTATTTTTTTAAGTATTTATTCTGCCCCATTCTCTTTCTACTGCTGCTGTTCTTATTAAGAAGATGTTACACTTTTTCATTTTTTTCCATAGTTTTTAATTTTGTTTTTTTTTTTTTATCATTACTTATTATAATTGTGTTTCACTTTAGGAAGCTTCTATTAAGTTCACTGAGTCTTTCTTCAGCAGTTTTGATTGTGTTTTATTGATAAGCCTTTGGAAGCTATTCTTCACCTCTGTTACTTTTTTGTTATTGTTGTTTTGTTATCATTTCATTTCAATTCTTATTGTTGAATCTTATAGTTTCCATATCTCTGCTAATATTTCCTCTCTGGTCTTCCATGTTGACGTTTTTGCCTTTAGAGCTTCCAAAATCTTAATCATAGTTATTTTAAATTTGATGTCTAATAATCCTAACATCAGTTTTATATTTGATTTCATTCTGATGCTCTTTAGACTGTGTTTTTTCTTGCCTTTTCACATACTTGTACTTTATTATTTGTTTGTTTTTTTTTTTGAAATGTAGGCATACTATATAGCATAATAGACACTGAGGTAAATAAGCCTTTATTGTGAGAATTTATGTTAACCTGTTTAGGAGATGCACTGTGTCTAATGTGTTTTGTAGCTATAGGCACCAGAATCTTCATATTGCTCTAATAGGGTAATTCCTTCCTCCACTCTTAGAACTGATCTTTCCTTCATTCTCCTCCTTAGAAGAAGTATATGTCTTGTAGCTCTTTCAGTTATAAGTCACTTTTATTGTTCCTATGTATTAGTACTGTGGTAGGGTGTGGGGAGGGGATTTTCTCTAGTTTTCATATAAGCCTCAGTCTTTTTAATGTGCCTATATTTCAGAGATGTGGCTTTCAGAAGTGTTTCTGTTGCTCCTCCAGGTACAGAGCTTTCCATACCGTGCTCCCATCCCCTAGTTCCTGCAATAATTACAACATACCCAACCTATTTTCTTAAACCTTTCTCAATTATTGACTATGACTTTATTATTATTTTCTTTAGGTGAGACAAGAAGAGTGTAGTTGGCTAGAGTAGATAGAATTGTCTTTCTCCAGCTAGAGATAATATTCCAAAATTGCTCTCTGATTAAGTTCTTCCAAAGGGAGGTTAAGCATTTGTTAGGAAGAAGGGCCTGGGAAGGTTTAACAATAGTTATTCTTCTCTTTCCCCTGCAAAATTTATACGGAGAGCTTTCACAGATAGGGTTTGTAATAGTGGTCCTGGAAAAAAGGCAGGTAAAAATATGATGGTGCCTTATGACTGTACTCCTTAGGAGCTTTTTATCTCATGTTTGTCTACTCTTGGTTTCCAGCAATCTGTCCAAATTGTTATTTAAATATTCCTAGTGGCTTATGTAGTTCAGTGGCAAATTGCAGGTGAACAATTTGCAGTTCCTGTATTTTCTGTTTCTGTGTGTACTTAGCTTTCCAGATTCTTTCTCTGCAGCCTCAGTTCCCTGATGAGTCCAAAAAAGTTATTGATATCAGTTTGTTCGGCGTTTTCTTATAATGACAGGACAAATGACTTGCAAATTCTTTATGTAGGAGCTCTTATGCAATTTTCTAACAGTTTTTTAAAGATATCAATTGCTCTGCTGAAAAGTAATACATTTTAAAGGGATAGTTTATTTACCTTGTCATAAATTTATAGAAGTACAAAAATCACCAGAATCCAGAATCACTTTAAATTTTCCTTTGTGCCATTTGTAATTAATCCTTACTTCTGATCTCAGCACCAAGCAACCAGTGACCTTCTTGTCTACACAATTTGCTTTTTCTGGAAATTTTATGTAAGAAAAATGATACAAGATATCATTTTTTGTCTGGTTTCTTTTACTTATCATAATGTGTTTGATGTTCATTCATTTTGTAGCATATATCAGTAGTTTAAAACTCATTGCTGAGTAATATTATATGGTATGAATATATGTTTTACTTAATCATTCATTTAATCATAATCAGTCGATGGGCATTTATAATGTCTCTCATTTGGGACTATTAAAATAATGCTGCTGTGAACATTCTTGTGTAGAATTCTGTTTGCTTTTTTGTTTTGTAAAGCTACGTATTTGTTTCTCTTGGAATATAACAAATGATAAAGGTGCAAGTCTCTGTGTAGATATATACTTTTCATTTCACTTGGATGCGTGCTTAGAAGTGGAATTGCTGGGTCATATGGCAAGTACATGTTTAACATTTCAAGAATCTGCCTAAATATTTTCCAGAGTGATTGTATCATTTTACATTTCCATTACAATGTATGAGAGTTCCAGCTTTTCTACATTCTCACCAACATTTAACATTTTCACAACATTTTTTGCTTGCATTTTTTTTCCACCATGCAAAAAAACTATGTCATTCTGATTTTAATTTGCAATTACCTATTGACTTATGAAATGATCATTCTTTCATGTAATTATTAGGCATTTGCATATCTTCTTTGCTGAAATGTCTTGACAAATCTGAGTCCATTTTTAAATTGAGTTTTTTGTTATTATTGAATTGTAAAAGTAGTTTATGTATTCAGAACACATTTTTAATCATACATGTGAATTGTAAATATTTTCTCTTGGCTATTCTTTAGCTTTCTTTCATTGATGACATATTTTGAAGAACAAAATATTTTAATTTTGATGAAATTCTAATTATTCATTTTTTTTTTTACGGATCATGGCTTTGGTATAATACCTCAGAAGTCTTTGCCTTATTGCATAAAAGTCATGAAAGCAGAAGTGTTTGTCTTGTTGATTGAAAGGTGATAGCATTCAATCTTTCAACTTTAACCACAATATTGCACATAAACCTCTATCAAATTGTGGAATTTTCTTTTTATTCCTAGTTAGCTGAGAGTATTTATCATGGATTAGTACTGGATTTTATGAAATGCTTTTTCTGTGATTATGTGCTTTTCCTTTATATTCTACACATTAGAATCTTTTTTATATTAACTCAATTTTGCATTCTTAGTTACTTTTCATTTAATCGTGGTGTATAATTATTTTATGTAATTCTATGTTTGGTTTGCTAATATTTTGTTAAGGATTTGTGCATCTATGTTCATTATATTGTGATGTCTTTGTGTGGCTTGGATAACAGGATAATACTTGCTTCATTGAATAAGTTGCAAACTGTTGTATTCTTCACATTTTCTATAAAGTTTGTATAGAATTGGTATTGTTTTTTCTTTATATTTTTAATAGTATTCACCACTCAAGCCATCTGGCTGTTGGTATGTGAGTGTGTGTGTGTGTGTGTGTGTGTGTGTATGTGTGTGTGTGTGTGTGTATGTGTGTGTTGTCTCTGTTTGAGAATTGGGGAACACATTTGGATTTAGGCAAATTTAGTTTCCTCTGGTGTTACTTCCCATCAGTCTTTCTTAAGTCTTCTTAGCATACTCATGTAGTCTTTCAGTCACTTAGGAATGTAATATAAGGACAGTTTATCACCACCATTTGTGAAGCTATCATTTCCAGGATTGCACTTTTAATTTCTGGCTTGTCTATCACTAACCCCAACTGAGACCTCAACTTTGGGTTAACAGTGATGCTAGTTTTACATTCGTTCCCTACCAAATTTAATACTTTTACTCAGAGTGCTGCTGAGTGAGATATTTTTGTCCTCTGCATCAAATCAAGAACAACCCTTCTGGCATTAAATCTATTGGTTTTCAAGGCCAGCTGTGCCCTGGTAAAATGACAGGCATGGGAGCCGACTCAGGCAAGACCACGACTTGATTTTTACTTGATTTTATAGCAGCTTTTCATAAATGCTTCTCAATTTGTTGTTTACTTTTGATCAGTTACCTAGCCCTCAAATGGCTGTCTTGACAAATTTTTCCAGTTTTATACTTATTTTGAGGGGTAGATGACTTACTATATCTTCTGTCTGACACAGTCTCCTTATTTAGATTTATCTACACAATTTTCTTTATATTGTATCTAATTTATCACAAAATCTAACAACAACCCATGATAAACACTCTCATCTAAATAGAAATAGAAAGAAACATCCTCAATCAAATTAAAGCTATATGTATTCTGTATTTTTATAATCCGATATCTAGGATAAAATTCCCTCAATATAAAAAACTCAATTTACATTTTCTTTAGTCCAGGACTGCTGGTGGTAAATTTTCTTAATTATCATGTGAAAATGCTATATTTGTTTTAAAAGATATTGCCTCTGCATATAGAGTGGGAAGACAGTAGGCAGTTTGTTTAGCCTTTGAATCTGTCATTCAATAATCTTCTGGTTTCCATCGTTTCTGTTGGAAAGTCAACCTTCAGTTTTATTATTATTTTTTGTTATTAATGCATTTCTATTTTCAAATTACTTTCATTATGATATATTTTAGTGGTTTTATTTTAATATTTATTGCACATAATATTTCTTAAGTGTGGGTCTCAAAGTCTTGTCAGTTTTAGATACATAATGCTGAGAGTATTATGTTTGAAAAACTGAAAAAGAAACCCAATAAGACTGATAGTTAAATTGACTTTACTAATTTTTTAGTATAGAATAAACTGGAAATTGCTTATGTCTAAGAATCAAAAAAAGAGTGAAGGGATTATTACCAAATAAAAGTTATCAGGCTAACTAGGAAGTAATTTATAATTATTAAAATGTTCAGTTATTATTTACAATGCAAGCGAGGCCCTCATTTTTTTTTTTTGGCGTTTCACCATTAATTGCATACATTTTTTAAAAATTCAATGTTTTATTTAAATCTTCTTGCTTTAGAAATGATATTATAATATTTATCTGTAATTTTAAATGATTGATTTTAATTTATTGGTAAATTATAGGGATCGGCTGTGTGGAAAATTAATATGTAAATATGAAAGAGAACATTTAATTGATATTCCAGATACCACTATTTTCTATTCTAACATAAATGGACAAATCTGCGTCTCAGTGGAGTATTCATCTAGTCACGCGGATAATTCAAAAATGTGGATAAAAGATGGAACAGTTTGTGGTGAAAATAAGGTATGTAGTCTTTTATTCTCAAATGACTTTCTAATATTTATAGTATGTTTTTAAGTGCATAATTTAAGTGCACATTTAATTTCAAAAATAAAAATGTTGAAAAATTTTTAAATAAGAAAAAGCTTAAGAAGAAAAATAATATGATTTGCATCCATGCATAGATAATATCATCATGAATAGTTTATTGGCTTTTTTCATAGAAATTATGTATATTCAGTGAATTAAGAATCATATTATTCATTTACTGTATCTTAATAAATTATATTACACAGAGTACTTCTGATGTCATGAGTTATGATATAATTACTTTAAAATAGTTGTTAAAATAACATGTCGATTTTAGTGATGAACATAATAAAGAACACACAGAATAAAGAAAAAATTAATTGAAGGCACATATCTGAACTATAACTACTCTTTCTATTTTTATGAACCCTATATGAACTTTTTATTTATATACATATATAGACAAATACAGATGCTTATCTAGCTATACTAACTATATATTTTTAAAAGAATATCTGATCCTCTTATCTAATTTTGTTCTTTTATCATTCCATAGTACATACAGATATTTATTAACATTTGATGTCTTTCTAGATTTTTCCTCTATGAAATATATTTACTGATGTACATATACATAAATACAGGGATGGTTTAACATACATGAATTGATTAATGCGATACCCATATGAACAAAATAACAGGTATAGAAGGAAAATACTTTAATATAAAGTCTATAGGCAACAAACTCTAAGCTAACATCATACTTAATGGTGAAAAACTAAAACTCTGCTCTCTAAGATCAGGAACAAGACAAGGCTGTGCTGTCATCACTATTATTCAATATAATGTTGGAAGTGCTAGCTAGAGCAATCAGACAAAAGAAAAAAATAAAAGTCATCCAAATAGGAAATAAAAAAGTCAAATTGTCACTTTTTGCAGATGACATGATTCTTTATATGAAAAACTCTAAAGATTCCAATGAAAAACTATTAGAAACAATAAACAAATACAGTAAACTTGCTGGATACAAAAATAATGTACAAAAATTTATAGCATTCCTATACACTAACAATGAATTATCAGAAAAAGAAAAGGAGAAAAAAATTTCTTTTACGATTGCAACAAAAAAAATAAAAAACCTAGAAATAAACCTAATGAAGCATATGAAGGATCTATACTCTGAAAACTATAAGACATTATTAAAAGAGTCTGTAGAAGACTCAAAGAAATGTAAATATATTTTGTGTTCATGGATTGTAAGAACCAACATAGTTAAAATGACCTTAATACCCAAAGCATTATACAGATATAATGCAATCCCCATCAAAATCCCAACAACATTTAAAAAAAAATAGAACAAAAAAATCATCGGATTTATATGGAAGCACAAAAGATGCCAAATAAACAAACCATTCTTATAAAAAAGAATATGGCTGGAAGCATCACTCTGCCACACTTCAAATTATACTACAAAGTGATAATAATCAAAACAACATGGTATTGGCTTGCTGAAAAACGGACACACAAACCAATGGAACACAATCGAGAGTCCAGAAAAGAACTCCTCTATGCATAGGCAAATAATTATCAACAAAGAAGTCAAGAACATACAATGGAGAAAGCTCTTTAATAAATGGTACGGGGAAAATTGGAATGCTACATGCAAAAGAATAAAACTAGACTACTATCTGTCACCATATACCAAAATTAACTCAAAATGAATCAGAGACTTAAATATAAGACACAAAGCAATAAATTCCATAGAAGAAAACATAGGCACTAAATGCATGGACCTGGATTTAGAGAGAATTTTATTAATATGACCTCACAGACAAGGGAATTAAATAAAAAAAGTAAGTGAATGGGACTATATCAAACTAAAAAGATGCTGCACAGCAAAAGAAACTATCAGCAAGACAAAGAGGCAACCATCTGAATGCAAGATGTCTGCAAACAATGCCTTCAATAAGGGCCTAAATCCAAAATATATTAAGAACTTATACAACTCAACAATTTTTTAAAAATCCAATTAAAAATAGGCAGAGGTCCTGAATAGACATTTCTCCGAGGAAGATATACAAATGGCCAACAGGCATATAAAAAGATGCTCAACTTCACTAGCTATTAGGGAAATGCAAATCAAAACCACAATGAGATACCACCTCACACCTGTTACAATGACTATCGTCAACAGGGCAAGTAATAAAAAGTGTTGGAGAGGTTGTTGAGAAAAAGAAATCCTTATACACTTCTGGTGGGAATGTAAATTGGTATAGTCACTATGGAAAATTGTATGGAAGTTCCTCAAAAAATTAGGAATAGAGTAACTATGTTACCCAGCAATCCCTCTTCTGAATATTTACCCAAAAAAGTTTAAAACATTTACCCACAAGATATATGCACCTCGATATTCATAACAGCATTATTCATAGTGATCAAGACATGGAAAGAAATGAAGTGTCCTTCAATAGATAATTGGATAAAGATGTAGTACATATATACAATTACTCAGCCATAAGAAAAGACAAAGTATTGCCATTTGCAACAATATGGATGAATCTTGAGATTATCATGTAAGCAAAACAAGTCAGACAGAAACAGTTGAAAACTATATGATTTCACTTATATGTGAAATACAAAACTGGAAACAACAAACAAATATGACAAACAGAGACTCAGGGACTGGACAGCAGAATAGTGATTACCGGAGGGAAGATGGGGAGGTGGGAGGTAGATAGGGGTAAAGTGGTTCAAATATATGGTAACAAAAGGAAATTTAACTTTGGATGGTGAACACACAATACAACATACATATGATGTATTATTGAATCGTACACTTGAAAATTATATGATTTATTAACCAAAGTCACCCCAATAACTGTAATAAAAAATAAAATAAAGTACATTATTTTAACCCAATAATTATGGAAATATTTATCATATATTATAAAGTTCTACCACAATCTAACTTTACTAATTTTCACTTAAAAATTCAGAAGTAAAAAAAGTAAACAAAAGAAAAATTATCTCCAAATTCTCATATAAAAATTCAACCATTTAAAAAACTTTGTAACATGGACACAACCAAAGTATCCTATGATAGATGATTGGATAAAGAAGCTGTGGTACATATATACAATGGAATATTACTCAGCTATAAGAAGAGATGAAATACTGTTGTTTGCGACAACATGGATGGATCTCAGGATAATCATGCTAAGTGAAATAAGCCAGACAGAAAAAATTGAAATTTACATATCACTTATATGTGGGATACAAACCTAAAAGCAACAAATGAACAGGACAAACAAGCAGAGACTCGTGGATAGACTAGTGGTTACCAGAGGGTAGGGAGGAGGGGGAAGGTAGATGGGGTAAAAGGGGTCATGTATGTAGTGACAGCAAGAATTCTAACTGTGGGAGATGAACACGTAATGTAAATATATGTATGCCTTACTGTTAAAATGTACAGCTGAAACGTACCAGATTTCATTAACCAATGTCACCATACAATAATTAATTAATTAATTGATTAAAAAATATAGAGACAGAGCTTATAAGTCATATGTATCTAGTTAAACAGAAGAGAGGAAAACATATGTATAACTTACAAAACTTTATATTTTATAAATGTTTTAAAATATTTTTCTTTTTAAAAAATCTTGTTAAATCATTATTATAGTTTTTATACAAAGACAGTAATAAAGAATAATCCTTCCTGATGTGCTTTTGATACTTAAAAATTGAACATGACCCTCTAGAAAACCATCATGTAGGCTATCAACCAACAATTGTGGCAGCGTTGACTTAGAAAATTTTATAAATATCACTTAATTCTACTTTGCAAATTCATGGCTACAGTAACTGACTTTGAGGATGAAGAAAAGCCTCAACAGTATGCATTGTGACTAATAAATTCAAAATAATATAGAATATGCATGAAGTGAATTCTAAATTAAAGTCCGAAGAGATGAAAGAAAGAAAGAAAGAAAGAAAGAAAGAAAGAAAGAAAGAAAGAAAGAAAGAAAGAAAGAAAGAAAGAAAGAAAGAAAGAAAGAAAGAAAGAAAGAAAGAAAGAAAGGAAAGAAAGAAAGAAAGAAAAAGAGAAAGAAAAAGAAGGGAGGAAGAAAGGAAGAAAGGAAGATTGGGAAGGAATCAAATCTGCTGTGAATCAAATTAACTTTTATTAAATCAAATAATTATCAAAAAAACTTTGTATTCTTTGTTCTTATGAAATTCATTTTGGGAAATTTCCCAATTTATTGCTTAATCTCTCTTTAATTTTTAACTCTCCATTATTTCTAAACAGCCTACCATAGGCTGTAGGAGTGAGAAACTGCACAGGAAACAAGAACTACCAAGTATGGCTTAAACAGTGTATGATTTATCTTCTTCATCATATAAAAAAATAGTGAAGATTGTTCATCTATAGAAGTTATGGGGTTACATCATGTCATCAAAGATCCAGACTCAATCTAGTTTTCAGCTATAAGCTGAAAGTGATTCTTTCTTTTGCTTTCAAGATGGTTGATGGACTCCCATTATCTCCACATTTCATGAAGGATTATTGGAAAGAACTAAAGGAAGAAAAAGGTGCATGCCATCTTTAGTCACCACAGTTAGTGAACAAGATGAGGGATATCTGGCAGTCACTATTCTTCTACAGTATTTATGACCAGGGTGATGCTTCACCAAATAGACATCTACTTCAGTAGCTTGAAAATATGCTACTGTTCATCATTAAAAAACAATACACAATGATGTTTGAGAAGTTTCTGTTTCAATGTAGAGGGATAATGAGGCTGAGTAGAGATCTTGGAAGGTGTTATCCAAGTGATGGCCACAAAACTTTGACTTCATTTATATCATATATTTCTATTAGCAAAAGGTGATCAAGCTAGTGCTGATCGTGTTAGTGCTCTAAAAGATGATCATGTTAGTGTTCTAAAAAATTTTTTGTATTCTGCAAATTAGTGTCATTATTTTTTAAATAC